TGCCATTTGTGACAATATCAATGGACCGAGAGGGTATTATGCTAAGTGAAATAAGTCAAAGACAAATACCACATGTTTTCACTTATATGTGGGATCAAAAAACGAAAACAAACTAAAAAGAAACAACAGATTAATAAATATAGAGAACTGACTGAGGGTTGCCAGAGGGGAAGGAGGTGAGCAAAATGGATGATGAAGGTTTCCAGTTGTGGAATGAATAAGTCATGAAGTAGAAAAGTACAGCATGGGGAATATAGTTAATGGTGTAATAGTGTTGTATGGTGACAGATAATAGCTACAATTGTGGTGAGCATAGCATAATGTATAGAGTTGTTGATTCACTGTGTTGTACCCCTGAAACTAATATAACATTGTGTGTCAACTGTTCTTCAATAAAGAAAGAAAAAAATCCTAAAATTCATATGGAAACATGGAAGACCTTTAATAATCAAAAGAATTTCGGGGCACCTGGGTGGCTTAGTCGGTTAAGCGTCCGACTTTCGCTTAGGTCATGATCTCCCGGTTCGTGGGTTCGAGCCCCGCGTCGGGCTCTGTGCTGACTGCCAGCTCAGAGCCTGGAGCCTGTTTCGGTCTGTGACTCCCTCTCTCTCTGACCCTCCCCTGCTCATGCTGTCTCTCTCTCTCCTAGAAATAAATAAAACATAAAAAAATTTAAAAAAATAATAATGAAAAGAATTTTTAAACAGAAACAAAGCTGAACTTGTCACATGTTTCTATTTCAAAATATATTATAAAACTACACTATCCAAGAGTATGGTACTGGTATAAAAACAGACATACAGCCCAATGGTGCAGAATAGCAATAAACTTAGCATATGCAGTCATGTGATCTTGGACAGTGGCATCGAGAATTCACAGTGGGGAAAGGATAGTGTCATCAATAAATGGTGTTGTGGAAAATGGATATTCGCATATAAAAGGATGAAACTGGAAACTTATCTTACACTGTACACAAAAATCGATTCACAAGAGGTTAAAGACTAAGATGTGAAGACGGGAAACAAAGAAGCAGAGAACAGAAAGGTGCTTGCCAGCTGCTGGGGGATTTGGGAAATGGAGACATACTTCTCAAAGAGTACAACGTTCCAATTATGCAAGGTGAATCAGTCCTAGAGATCCTCTGTACAGCATACTGCCTGTAGTTATAATACTTTACTATATATTGAAATTTTGCAATTAGTAGGTTTTATATTGAGCGTTATCACAAAAAGTAATGAATAAAAAGGGCAGGAGAAAGTTTTAGGAGGTGATGATATGTTTATTGCATAGGTGGTGGTAATGATGTTTGGATGTGTACTTATCAGATTCATCAAGTTGTATACATAAATACATACAGTTCTTTGTGTGTTAAGTATACCTCAAAAAAGTTGTTTTAAGAAAAAATCCTTTAGGAAAACTTCTGGAATCATTCTATGAACCCAGCATTACCTTGATTCCCAAACCAGAGACCCCTCAAAAAAGGAGAACTACAGGCCACTATCCCAGACGAACATGGATGCAAAAATTCTCAACAAGATACTAGCGAATTAAATTCAACGGTATATAAAAAGGATTAGTCACCATGATCAAGTGGGATTCATTCCTGGGCTGCAGGGCTGGTTCAATATATGCAAATCAATCAATGTGATACATCACATTAATAAAAGAAAGGAGAAGAAACATATGATCCTGTCAATTGATCCAGAAAAAGCATTTGGAAAATTCAACATCTTTTCTCAATAAAATCCTCAAGAAAGTTGGGATAGAAGGAACATACTTAAACATCGTAAAAGCCATATATGAAAAGCCCACAGCTAATATCATTCTCAATGGGGAAAAACTGAGAGCTTTTTCCCTGAAATCAGGAAATGGGATGTCCAATCTCACCACTGTTCTTTAACATAGTGTTGGAAGTCTTAGCATCAGCAATCAGAAAACAAAATGAAATAAAAGTCATCAATGCAGCAATTTCTTACTCGACACATCTCCAAAGGCAAGGGAATTAAAAGCAAAACTGAACTATTGGGAACTCATCAAGATAAAAAGCTTTTCCACTACAAAGGAAACAATCAACAAAACTAAAAGGCAACTGACGGAATGGGAAAAGATATTTGCAAATGACATATCGGATAAAGGGCTAGTATCCAAAATCTATAAAGAACTTATCAAATTCAACACCTGAACAACAAATAATCCAGTGAAGAAATGGGCAGAAGACATGAATAGACACTTTTCCAAAGAAGACATCCAGATGGCCAACAGAACATGAAAAGATGCTCAATGTCATTCAATATCAGGGAAATACAAATCAAAGCCAGAATGAGATACTACTTCACACCAGTCAGAGTGGCTAAAATGAACAAATCAGGAAACCACAGATGCTGGTGAGGATGTGGAGAAACAGGAAGTCTCTTGCACTGTTGGTGGGAATGCAAACTGGCGCAGCCGCTCTGGAAAACAGTGTGGAGTTTCCTCAAAAAATTAAAAATAGAACTACCCTACAACCAGCAATAGCACTGCTAGGAATTTACCCAAGGGATACAGGACTGTTGATGCATAGGGGCACAGGCACCCCAATGTTTATAGCAGCGTTTTCAACAATACCCAAATTATGGAAAGAGCCTGAATGTCCATCAACTGATGAATGATAAAGATGTGGTTTATAAATACAATGGAATACTACTTGGCAATGGGAAAGAATGAAATCATGCCATTTGCAGCAACGTGGATGGAACTGGAAGGTATTATGTGGAGTGGAATAAGTCAGTCAGAGAAGGACAGATATCATATGTTTTCCTTCCTATGAGGATCCTGAGAAACTCAAGAGAAGACTATGGGGGAGGGGAAGGGAAAAAATAGTTACAAACAAAGAGGGAGGGTGGCAAACCACAAGAGACTCTTAAATACAGAGAACAAACTGAGAGTGGATGGGAGGGTGGGCGAGAGGGGAAAATGGGTGATGGGCATTGAGGAGGGCACTTGTTGGGATGAGCACTGGGTGTTGTATGTAAGCTAATTTGACAATAAATTATGTTTTAAAAAAAAAGAAAACTCCTTCAGGGACACCTAGTTGGCTCAGTTGGTTAAGTGTCCGACTCTCGATTTCAGCTCCAGTCATGATCTCACAGTCATGAGATCAAGCCCCATGTTGGGCCTCCCCACCTTAGCATAAAATCTGCTTGGGATTCTCTCTCTCCCTCCCTGTCTGCCCCTCCTCCCCCTCTCAAAATAAATAAATAAACATTAATGAAAAAGAAAAGTCTTTCAGATATGCATTGAACATGTTTCCAGAAATGTTTTACTGCTCCCCTTTACTGTCTAGACCCTAAGCCTCCCCTTTTTCAATTAAACAAGGGTAGATGATTTTTCCTGGTCTCTATTAGCATTCTTTCCATTCCCTTATCATTGCAAACAGGAAGGGTAACAATATAAATACCATATGATCTGGCAATACCACTTCTGGTTATATATCCCAAAGAATTCTAAACAGGGAAGAGATGTTTGCACACACATGTTCATTGCAGCAAAAGCCAAACTATGGAAGCAAGCTAAATGACCATCGGTGGATGAATGGACAAAGAAAATGTGGTGTACACATACAACAGAGTATTACTCATCCATATAAAAAGGAAATCCTGCTATCTGCTACGACATAGATGAGTCTCGAGGATTTTTTGTTAAATGAAATAAGACAGTCACAGAAGGACAAATACTGCATGATTCTACTTCTATGAAGTACATAAAATAATAAAACAATAAATGGAATGGTTTACTAGGGACTAGGGACAAAGGATATGGAAAATTGCTATTCAAAGGGTACAGAGTTTTAGTCATACAAGATGAAAATGTTTTAGAGATCATTGTACTTATAGTTAACAATACTGTATTGTACAGTGAAAAATTTAAAAAGACAGATCTAATCCAGGTTAATTTTAAAATGCGTATTAATTTTTCTCTTATTAATACCTAAGGTTCCTTGAAACATGGAATTCTGGACCACACTGTTGTTCAAGATTCAGCACTATGCTGGGGTGCCTGGGTGGCTCAGTCAGTTAAGCAACCAGCTTCAGCTCAGGTCATGATCTCACAGTTCGTGGGTTCGAGCCCCATGTCGGGCTCTGTGCTGACAGCTAGCTCAGAGCCTGGAGCCTGTTTCAGATTCTGTGTCTCCCTCTCTCTCTGACCCTCCCCTGCTCATGCTGCCTCTCTCTCTCAGAAATAAATAAAACATTTTAAAAATTTTTAAAAAAAGATTCAGCACTGTGCCTAGCACCTTATAATTTTTTGATAAATAATTTATACATTCATGCATTCATGACATGATGAATGGTTTACTTTATGATCCACACCAATATCTGTTGTCTTCCAAGCCCAGGGTGAGAAAAGAGAAAAGAAAAAAAAAAAAAAAAAAGGACTTCTCTGAGGCATTTCCACTGAGTCACGCTCTTGGAATTTGTAATAAGTAGAATGTAAACTCCACAAAGCAGAGATTTGGATTATTGTGGTCAATGCCGTATTTCCTGGAGAGAACAAAAGTGGCTCAGGGAGGCACTCAGTAATACACCATTAATGAAAGAGTGTATGACCTAATTAACAAGTAAGTGATCCTTCTTATGTTCTGTTCTGCATGGTCCCTAAGCCTCCTTTCTACTGGTCTTACTATACTGAAAAAAGGCCATCAGAACATTAATGGAAAGAATGGATTAGTTTGTTACTTTCTCTAACATTGAGACAAATATACAATCTTTACAATCATCAACACTAAGAGCTATCTGCTCCTGTTGAGTAAAATATCCATGTCTAGTTCTCAGCAAGAGGATATTCTCTCTTTATATGAACTCAAACAATGTGGACAGCCATTGAGAGCCAAGACAATGATGTGAGAAGACCCCAAGCCAGACTTGTGTCCCCACCGTTTATTCATCCCACGGTCACCAACCAGTACATATGTCAGATTTTGTCTCCCCTACATCCCATTACCAACTCTCTTTCCTGCTCACCTCCATGGTGAGGGTGTCTCCAGAATTCTTCTTTCCATTCCAGAGTGCAACTTTTCTAAGCACCTTTAAGCCTTCCTCAGGTTTGTTGGTGATAATCAGCCACCGAGCAGACTCCATCAGCCACCTGATCAAAGACAGAGGTGCAGTCAATTCTCATGTGCCCATTTTCCACATATTCTTTGGCCTGAAATGCCTCTCCCTGCCCATCTGGCACCTACCTCTTGTTTTGTTATGTCAGCCAATAGGAAACCAGCTGATTCTGTACCTAGGAAACTGCGAGAATAACCCCTCCTCATTAACGGCAATACGAGGAGGAGGAGTCATATTTCACCCCCCCACCTTATTCAGGGGGGTGTTACCAGGTTTGGCAACTAAAAATAATGTGCCTCATTAAATCTGAATTTAGAGAAACAGTGAATATGAGTAACTCTTGAGTATAACTATGTCCCATGCAATATTTGGGACATGCTTACATTGAAAAGCATTGGTTGTTGACTTGAAGTTTTACTTTAATGAGAAGCCCTGGATTTTATCATGTTAGTAAATAAAAATCCAGAACTCTCAGATAAACAGAAATTTCATGTAAACAATGGGTTATTTTTAGTGTGGCTCTGCTTCATGCAGTCTTTGGAATGTTATACCAAAAAATGTATTATTTATCTGAAATTCAAATTCAATGGAATGTTCTTGATATTATCTGGCCACCCTACGTGTTCAACCTCTTAAACTGTACTTTGGACACTTATCAGGAGAGCATGTGCTCAAGTGTTAACTAAGGATCAAACTGAATTCTTATGCCCTCATTCCATGTATCTTGCATCCAGCATCCTCTCAGACAAAGGGAGAAAGGAACTTATACCTTGAGAAAAGAAAAATGACAAACAATGGTACGGAAACCACCAGCTGAAGGGTATGCCAGTCTCGAATGGCAAAGGCCAGTCCTCCGAGGATCATCTGTCCCACACAAGCGCCACAGATGGCCACTGCCATTCCCATAACTTGGAATCGGGGCACTGTCCATTCTGCAACTGAAAGAAAAAAGCAAGCAGGATTTTGACTTCAAAGATGGGATTTCAAAGTCAAAGTTAAGGCTTGGAGAATATCAAGACCCAACGTTTTTACTTACTAAGCATCATGGAGTTTATCAGGATGGTCTTGGTAGAAAAGCCAGCCAGGAAGCGGAGTGTGCAATAAATGAGGAAGGTGGGAGCAAAGGCTGCACAGGTATCAGCAATGGCGAGCTGGAGGAAACACCACCTGAGAATTAACCTCCTCCCAAACCTGAGGAATGGGAACAGGTTAGTTCTGGGAATGATAACAACTTGATGGGAAAATTAACAAAACAAAGACAAGCTTTGAAATTTAGGGGATGTTTTAATAAGTGGATCTTTGTCCTTGAGACTTGAAAGAATCAACAGATAAGCAAGAGTAGGTCTTCCGAGGGGCACCTGGGTGACTCAGTCAGTTAAGCATCTGACTTCAGCTCAGGTCATGATCTCACCGTTTGCGAGCTCGAACCCCGCATCGGGCTTTGTGTTGACAGCTCCGAGCCTGGAGCTGCTTCGGATTCTGTGTCTCCCTCTCTCTCAGCCCCTTCCCTGCTCGCACTCTGTCTCTCTCTCTCTCTCAAAAATAAATAAACATGAAAACAAAGAGTAGGTCTTCCCAGAAGTAACCTTCCTGTTTGTAAATAGGTCCAAAGTATAACAAAGCTTCTTCCCCAATCTGCTACCAGACCTTTGGGAACCCATCGAAGCCATATAGGACAAGTTACAATACTGGCAATTTTAACACATCACAAATGTCCCTTGTACTATCACATGCAGTTAACATTGTAGAGAGTCTATGCCATGTCTATAACACAAGGGATCTGGGGCGCCTGGGTGACTCAGCCAGTTAAGTGTCCAAATCTGGGTTTTGGGTCGGGTCACGATCTCATGGTTTGTGAGACAGAGCCCTGTGTCGGGGTCTCTGCTGACAACGAGGAGCCTGCTTGGGATTCTCTCTCTCTCCCTCTCTCTCTGCCCCTCCCCCGCTTATGCATTCTCTCCCTCTTCTCTCAAAAAGAAATAATTTTTGAAAAAAGAACGTAGGGACCTGCTATGGACTGGGTTGTGTCCCCCTCCCCCAAATCATATATTGAAGCTCTAATCCCCAGTGAAATGGTATTTGGAGATGGGCTGTGCGAGAGGTAGTTAGGTTTAGATAAGGCCGTAAGAGTGAGGTCCTGTTGATGGCGTTAGTGCCTTTATAAGAAGAGGTACCAGAAAGATTTCTCTCCTTCTCTTTCCACCATCTGAGGCTGCACCAAGACAACAGCTGTCTTTAAGCCAGAAAGAGAGCTCTCACCAGGAACCAAATCTTTCTGCTCCTAGATCTTGGACCTCTCAGCCTCTGCAACTTGAAAAAATAAATTTCTGATGTGTAGGTCCCCTAGTCTATGGTATTTCATTGTGGTAGCCTGAGCTGACTAAGATGGGATCTAAATCTGTACTTGGGGCTCCGGGACCATGCAGGTCATGGGCTAAACTATATAAAAGGGACATCCATGGAACAATACATCACAACTGATGATGGGTTGCCTGAGAGCCCCTCTCTGCTAAGTCTGGGTCTTAAACAACATTTTTCCCTAAAATAAGATGGAAGAGAGCCACAACCCAGACACAGACTTTAGAGCAAGTCCTCAGAGGAAAGATTAGGTAAGATGAGCATAAAGAAACAGAGAAGAAGAAGGTATTTTTAAAAAGGAAAGAGAACTCTGTGCTTCACAGTTTTCTGGGAGAGAAGGCCTTTTCTTAGACAACGTGGCTAAGATGCTTGTGCTGATTCTGTATACCCTGTAATGCTTATAAATGGACAAACAATGAGATCAGACAAATGCTCAGAAATCCTTGCTACTCTTGCAGAATATTTAAATTGTGATGTGGTTTTAAATCTCTTATATTCTGAGTATTTATATCACATGCATTTGTATCTCCATTTAAAATGGAATAAAGTCTATATAAAGAAATGCTATAATTTAAAAAAAATTTTAATGTTTTATTTATTTCTGAGAGAAAGAGACAGTGTGGGCAGGGGAGGGTCAGAAAGAGAGGGAGATATAGAATCTGAATCAGGCTCTAGGCTCTGAGCTGGCTGTCAGCACAGAGCCCGAGGCGGGGCTCCAACCCAGGAACCATGAGATCATGACCTGAGCCGAAGTCAGATGCTTAACCGACTGAGCCACCCAGGCACCCCAAGAAATGCTATAATTAATGAAATGGTGTCATGACAGTCATCGGAAAGTCTGGTCGGTCAAAACGAAAAGCAGCTGTATTTAAAGGAAAGACAAATACATGATTTCACTCATATGGGGAATTTAAGAAACACAGCAGATGAACATAGGGGAAGGGAAGGAAAAATAAGTCAAAAACAGAGAGGGAGGCAAACCGTAAGAGACTCCTGAATACAGAGAACAAACTGGGTATTGCTAGAAGGGAGGACCATGGCGGGGAGATGGGCTAAACAGGTGATGGGCATTAAAGAGAGCACTTGTTGGGATGAGCATTGGGTGTTACATGTAAGTGATGAATCATTGGGTTCTACTGAAACTAATATGACACGACATGTTAACTAATTTGAATTTAAATTAATTAATTAAAATAATAAAATAAAAATTATGTCATGTGGGAGCACCTGAATGGCTCAGTCAGTTGGGCGTCCAATTGTTGACTTTGGCTCAGGTCATGATCCCAGGATTGTGGGATCAAGCCCCAAGATGGGCTCCTCACTGAACATGCAGCCTGCTTAAGATTCTCTCTCTTCCTTTGCCCCTCTCCCCTGCTTGGGCTTTCTCTCTCTAAAATAAGAAAAAGAGCTGATTTTAAAAAAGTTTTAAAAAGATATATCATGTACATTCTCACAGGGAAAGATCACATATAAAACTTATTAAATGTAGTGATATTTAAAATGGCAGGCATTTGGCAATAATCTGGTTGCCCATTGCCAAAAAATGGATTCGAGCATTGTAATGGATCTCCACTGCGGAGCACCGTGCAGCAACCAGAAGAATGAACTAGAAGTATCCATAGGAATGTGTATGTCCCTCAAAACCGTAGCAGTGGGTGTTCAAAAGGAAAAGAAAAAGATAATAACACATTTACATAAATATGTGAATTCAGATATATGTAAGCCAAACAATGTCATTTATTTTATAAAAACCCATATGAATGTACAGAAATATAGTTGATGCATTATACTGGTCCCTATATTGGGAAGAAGGAAATGGGACTGGGGCATGAGGAAAAAATGAAACGTATATCCACGAAAGGAATTCATGGCTGGACTGATGAGGATATTGTCCACGAAATGAGCAGTACAATCCTTCAGCCAACTGTGGTTGATATTTGAAAGAAGAGAAATTTGTGCTGTGTAAAATACAAAGCTATTGTTTCAGTAATTATTAATCCTGTCATTTGGCTAGATGTTCGCCATCACATAGAGGAAAATTACTCTTCCCAGTCTTATATATTTTTTACTTTAAATTTTTATTAATTTTTTTTAGAGGGAGAGAGAGTGCAAGCAGGGGAGGGGGAGAGCAGAAGGAGAGAGAGAGAATCCGAAGCAGGATCCACACTCAGTACAGAGCCCCATGTGGGGCTTGATCCTCTGGGCTTACGATCTGAGCCAAAATCAAGAGTCAGAAGCTCAACCGACTGAGCCACCCAGGCACCACCCCCCTCCCACCCCAGTCTTATATTTAAGTTAGAGCCCTACATCTGCAGTCTGGCCAATGACTGTGGATAAAAGGGACCTAAGCCACTTCCAGGCCTGTCCATATAAGGTCTACTTGGGTCCTGCTCATTCCTTCTGACAACATGGCTGGAAACAAAAAATGTGCTGATAAAAAGTCACACGATGGAAGGTGCTGGTTCCTTGAGCCACTGCCTAGAAGATGGGGGCCACATGACCCACACCAAATCATGACAACAGTGAGAATCACGATTTTATTAAAATAACCAATTATAATTCTTGGGTTCTTACTGTAACTAGCTACCTTGGTTAACACAGTAATGTTTTAATAATTGTGTTTGACACAGTTAATTAGAGAAGCTTTGTGTGTGTTTCTTATTTTGGCTATATGTTCATTCTCTAGTTATTTGAAAAAATATTTTACTGGAAAAGAAAATGTGACGTAGATCTGTAAACATAAGTATAAAAAGGTTACGGGAAAAAAAAGAAAGAAAGAGGTTACAGGGGTGCCTGGGTGGCTCAGTCAGTTAAGCATCCAACTTCGGCTCAAGGTCATGACCTTGCAGTTCACAAGTTAGAGCACCGCGTTGGGCTCAGTGCTGACACCTCAGAGCCAGGAGCCTGCTTCATTCGGTCTCTCCCTCTCTCTCTGCCCCTCCCCTGCTTGTGCTCTGTCTCTCTGTATCTCTCTCAAAAATAAATAAAAATATTTTAAAGAATTAAAAAGAGGTGGGGCGCCTGGGTGGCTCAGTCGGTTAGGCGTCCAACTTCGGCTCAGGTCATGATCTCATGGTGCGTGGGTTCGAGCCCCATGTCAGGCTCTGTGCTGACAGCTAGCTCAGAGCCTATAGCCTGTTTCAGATTCTGTGTCTCCCTCTCTCTCTGACCCTCCCCTGCTCACGCTCTCTCTCTCAGAAATAAATAAAACATTAAAAAATTTTTTAATTAAAAAGAGGATACAAAATTACATACTCACTTTTACCAACTTTATTTAAACCATATATTTGTGATGTCTGTAAGTGTGATACACTGAATGTTGGCTCCCACTTGAACAGATTTGTTCTTAGATCTTTATTTTGAAATTTTTCAAATATGGAAATTTAAATGAATACTACAATTACCACTGGTATAAGTCTCAAGCAGATTCACCACTAGATAGCATTTTGCTGTATTTGCTTTATTGCTTTACATGTGCGAATACACACACACACACCCCACACACAGACTCTTTTGTGTTGAACCATTTCAGTTGCAGTTCCAGAGCACATGACACCTCACTCAATTTTTTTTAGCATGCATGTATTAAGAATACAAGCAGTTTCTAGAAGCACCTGGGTGGCTCAGTCCATTAAGTGTCCAACTTTGGCTCAGGTCATGATCTCACGGTTTCTGAGTTTAAGCCCCGCATCAGACTCTGTGCTGACAGCTCAGAGCCTGGATTTGGACACAGAACCTGCTTTGGATTCTGTATCTCCCTTGCCTCTCTGCCCTTCCCCTGCTCATACTATGTCTCTCTCTTTCTCAAAAGTAAATAAACATTAAAAAAGAAG